ACACATGGACCCTAGTTCCTCCTCCTAATGGTCAGAAACCAATAGGATGTAAATGGATTTACAAAATCAAGTATAAATCCGACGGGACCATTGAACGCTACAAAGCTTGTCTCGTTGCCAGAGGATATAATCAAGTTGAGGGCATTGATTATCGAGAAACCTTTTCTCCGACAGCAAAACTAACTACGCTTCGCTGCATTCTCACTATTGCCGCAGCCAAGAACTGGTTTACACACCAATTAGATGTCCAAAATGCTTTCCTTCATGGGGGCTTATATGAAACAGTATATATGGAACCTCCACCAGATCTACGACGATAGGGGGAGAATGTTGTGTGTCGTCTTAACAAGTCACTCTATGGGCTCAAGCAGCCATCAAGAAACTGGTTTTCTACTTTCTCAAACACCATCCAGAAGGCAGGTTATCAACAATCAAAAGCTGATTATTCACTTTTCACAAAGGCTCGAGGTACCTCATTTACTGCAGTTCTCATCTATGTTGATGACATCCTTTTAACAGGCAATGACCTTCAAGAAATTGATCAGCTCAAAGCGTTTCTTCTCAAGCGCTTTCGTATCAAAGATCTGGGAGACTTAAAATATTTTTTGGGAATTGAATTTTCACGTTCCAAGAGAGGTATCTTTATGTCTCAGAGAAAATATGCCCTAGATATTTTACAAGATTCCGGACTCATGGGTGCTCGCCCAGACAAATTCCCAATGGAACAAAATTTAAAACTTACCCCCACAGATGGAGCACTGCTAAATGATCCTACCAAATATAGAAGATTCATTGGAAGACTAATTTATCTCACTGTCACGAGACCGGATATAGTATATTCAGTTCGAGTACTGAGCCAATTCATGCAAGAACCTCGAAAGCCTCATTGGGATGCAGCAATACAAATTCTCAAGTATGTGAAAGGCACTCCTAGACAGGGTCTATTACTATCCTCCACCAACAATCTCACTTTAAAGGCCTTTTGCGATTCGGATTGGGGAGGTTGTCGTGCCACAAGACGATCGGTTACAGGATATTGCATCTTCCTTGGGAATTCACTTATTTCATGGAAATCTAAGAAACAGACCAATGTTTCTAGATTATCTGTAGAAGCCGAATACCGAGCTATGGCAAACACATGTTTAGAGCTGACTTGGTTGTGCTACATCTTGCAAGATTTAAGGGTTCCACAAATGGCTCCTATACCGCTATTTTGTGACAATCAAGCTTCTTTACATATTACAGCTAATCCAGTCTTCCATAAACGTACAAAACACATTGAAATAAATTGTCACATAGTGCGGGAAAAGTTACGAGCGGGGACTTCATGATATTCACTCTCCAACTTGAGGGGGAGTATTAAGAAATATCCTTGTAATAAATGTAATTAATTTAGTTGGTTGACTTACCTTAGTTAGCATAGATCAAATCCCACTATAGGTGGATCACGGATTATCAACCTTAGGAAATGATTTGATTGATTCTTATATATGTGTATATATTGTGTACATTGTTCACAGAGAATATAACAGAGTTCATATTCCACCAAAACTCTTCTACTTTTCTCTCCAAACGTATCATTCTTTATAAAAGTGAGTCGGGGTACTTGAGAGGTAATACTATGAAATTCAATAGATATGTAGGCTATTTTGAAATCTTTATAAAGAGAGTGGGGAACGAGACTCCTTCATTAGTGTTTGAGATCTGAATTCGAGAGCTACGAGATTACACAGGTCCCACGGGAATCGAACGCTCATGATGACGCATTGCCAAACCTCGGATCTTCAACCAATTAGAATTCTGACCGTCGAAATGTGTCGCAGGACCATCAGCTAGCAATGGTGATTACAGCTCGATATCTAACTGTTGAAGGAGAGCTGGAAGAGTTGCGCAAGTCGCGTGACTCACTGAAGGAGCTACTGATCAAGGTGAAAGACAAGGCGAGGACCCGTGACGAAGAGATGCTGGATCTCCGTGCTCAACTCGAGTCTTCTGATGAGAAGGTCGCTGCTAAGGACTTACAGATCAGAGAGTTGTCAGATTTGGTTGATGAATGGTACACGAACGGTTGGGCGAGTCAATGTCCATCACAGCTGTCAAAGGGTCAGATTGCTCGCCCAATGTCCATCACAGCTGTCGAAGTGTTAGATTGCTTGGAGATGCATGGCCTTTCTAGGAATCCCCCTGGGATTGTTCTTTGCAAGGCTAAAATGTCGTTCTAATTTGAATTGAGATATGATATTTTCTGATAACTTTTAACTGTAGCTGAAAAAGTTAAATGTAATATTTTTTGAGAATTTTTAACTGTAGAAACCTAGAACTGAAAACTCTAATCAGTGAAATGAACTAGACCTACAAAACTTCCACGTCGTTCATGTGTTGGTGTTCGGAAAAATCTTGAGTGTTCTTGCTAATCTCGTTTTGTTTCAGGTGTGCCTACACATACACATCTTCATAGATTTAAGGAATTGATAAGGAAGATTCGGGTTTTCTAAACTAGCATTGGAGCAAAGAACGTTCGAGGTTAAAAAACACAAGTTATCATCCTAATCGGTTGCTAGGTATAATATATAATCTGGTTCTTAGTAAATAAATTAACGTGATTAATTTATTCGTGCATAATTAATATAATTTATAGAGTGTCTCAAAAGTTTTGTGAAAATTTTTGTTATACACGATCCTCTACTCACACCCTTCCGCATCTGAAATCGTTTCGGAAACCAACACACACGATTTGAGATTATGTTTTGAAGCTAAAAACATTAACAATAAGAATTCGTGACCTTATTTTATGTAGATTTCCATATGTGATGAGTTTACTTTGCATAAGATTTCCAAATTGATGCAATGATCTTATTGGATCGTAATAAGGATGATCACTTCATTGAGATGCTAGTGTGTTAGAATTCATTGAACCAAAGTCATAACATAATTATAGTTCTTATGTAATTTAATGGATTAAACTTAATACTGAATGATTAGTGGACTTATTGCAAAAGGGTGTCGACTCAGATTAATTTATAATTGATCAATAGCTTGATAAATTAGAGAGAACAAAATTATAGATGCCTAAGGATACTATTGCACAGACATAGAATCCACGTCTTATTTAAGAAGAGTAAAATCAACAACCACATACTGAGTATATGCCCGTTTAGTTCGTGCATTTAAACCAGTGATTTTTTATTTTGCCGTTTAAAATTCAAATTTTTTGTAAAAAAAAAAAAAAAACATTATAACAGAGTTAAAATTATGAGTTTAAACGCCGCAAACAAACGAGCTCGTAATGTTTTCCATTGAAAACAGTCGACGCAACATTGTGCAATAACAAGCAAAAATGGTAAACTGTGAACAGTAGGTTATTTTTGTGTAATCACACAATGCCATTAAAATTTTCAGACAATCGAAAATCTCACCTCAGTGAAGCATGCATTTTCAATGAAGTGGGTGAGCAATGGACATAGAAGCTCTGGAACTAAACAGTATTGAATTTGAAGGTAAGAAAAGGTAAGAAATCCATCTCTCCTTGGGGATGTGGCCAAACTCTATGTGATACAGGCCTAACTATGCAAGCTCATAAGGTATTAGTTTGTATTTATAAAAAAACAATTTAAAAAAAAAAAAAAAAAGTGAAAGTGAAATGGGCTGAAAATGAAGTGTTTGTGACAGCTACTTCCAATGTTTTACTGCAGCAGTCCTTTTATCTTGGCCAAGGATTCGAAAGTTACAAAGAAATGATACCACAGAATGAGGAAGATTCCTACCCAATGATCCTGCTAATTCCTTTACACTGACGCATAGAAACTTCGCTAGTCCATCCACTTCCAATTCATATTGCTCATAAACAAAGAATGCAGTGAATGCAAACACCAGAGCTGCGATTCGTTCCAATTTTCCGACATAATGTAAGAAAATAGAAATCAATTAATGGAATCTGGGTGCAATAAAATAGGAGTTCCTTACCTATACCAACAGCCATTGTCAGGAACTGTGACAAAATCAACTTCAGAAAATATATAAAAGTTGCAACCTGCAGTGATTTTGGAATATTTAGTTCTCCTGTTCATGCTTTTACAGTAACTGTCAAGAGTGGAAAGTAAAGCAAACTCTACACCCAAATTTATCTCAAAACATAACAATAAGAAATATTTCATATTTTCAGAGTAGTTAGAGAGACAACAATTAGACTTAAGGCTCAATTCTCTTTCTTGAATCATAAACTTTACATTAGTTAAACAGAAAATTAGGCTCAAATCACACACTTTATTATACCGGTCCTTCTAATTCTTATATAGACTTATGTAAAAGAGTTCGAGATATATAAATAGGAAAGACGTCTCAAATTCCACACATGGGTTATTGGGCATGCCAGGAGCACGAGGGGAACTCATACTTTCTGTCAGAGTTGGTGAAAGGGAAAACATCTTAGCCATTCTTCAATCTTTTTCAATCATAGCAACAAACAATATCTATACATCCAAACTCAAATTCCCATCAGCTGATGGGATGTACACTTTCTCATCCCGCTTCAGTATTGTATAACTCTCATGATGAGGTATTTCCTAACTCTCATAATGAATCTCAATTGCCGTAAGGCAGCAGTATGATCTCCAGCGTGCGCAATGTACGCATGTCATAGATTGAGGGTCAAAAAAATACAACTTTTGCTAATGCATGGAGGGACAGTTTTTGGGGCACCATGTCCAGAAGGTCGACAATTTCCCCAAAAAATTATCAATCAGGGAAAAGCTTAGCCATTTTTATTGATCACAAAACTTTTTGCATGATAAAAGAGAAATAAAAGCACAAGACACTGGCACTGCACACAATCAGGAAATTTAGGCCAAGCATCCACTTGCGTACTACTTTTCTAAGGCCATGTGCTAATAGCACTTGTTATAACGCAGGTTACATGAAATAAGAAATAAGGGAAAAATAATCATGCACTAAAACAGAAAAATATATATGAAGTTTAAAAAAACAATTAAAAAAAAAAAAAAAAAAGTGAAAGTGAAATGGGCTGAAAATGAAGTGTTTGTGACAGCTACTTCCAATGTTTTACTGCAGCAGTCCTTTTATCTTGGCCAAGGATTCCAAAGTTACAAAGAAATGATACCACAGAATGAGGAAGATTCCTACCCAATGATCCCGCTAATTCCTTTACACTGACGCGTAGAAACTTCGCTAGTCCATCCACTTCCAATTCATATTGCTCATAAACAAAGAATGCAGTGAATGCAAACACCAGAGCTGCGATTCGTTCCAATTTTCCGACATAATGTAAGAAAATAGAAATCAATTAATGGAATCTGGGTGCAATAAAATAGGAGTTCCTTACCTATACCAACAGCCATTGTCAGGAACTGTGACAAAATCAACTTCAGAAAATATATAAAAGTTGCAACCTGCAGTGATTTTGGAATATTTAGTTCTCCTGTTCATGCTTTTACAGTAACTGTCAAGAGTGGAAAGTAAAGCAAACTCTACACCCAAATTTATCTCAAAACATAACAATAAGAAATATTTCATATTTTCAGAGTAGCTGAGAGACAACAATTAGACTTTAAGACTCAATTATCTTTCTTGAATCATAAACTTTACAGTAGTTAAACAGAAAATTAGGCACAAAGTCCTTCTAATTCTTATATAGACTTATGTAAAAGAGTTCGAGATATGTAAATAGGAAAGACGTCTCAAATTCCACACATGGGTTATTGGGCATGCCAGGAGCACGAGGGGAACTCATACTTTCTGTCAGAGTTGGTGAAAGGGAAAACATCTTAGCCATTCTTCAATCTTTTTCAATCATAGCAACAAACAAATAGCTATACATCCAAACTCAAATTCCCATCAGCTGATGGGATGTACACTTTCTCATCCCGCTTCAGTAATGTATAACTTTCATGATGAGGTATTTCCTAACTCTCATAATGAATCTCAATTGCCGTAAGGCAGCAGTATGATCTCCAGTGTGCGCAATGTACGCGTGTCATAGATTGAGGGTCAAAAAAATACAACTTTTGCTAATGCATGGAGGGACAATTTTTGGGGCACCATGTCCAGAAGGTCGACAATTTCCCCAAAAAATTATCAATCAGGGAAAAGCTTAGCCATTTTTATTGATCACAAAACTTTTTGCATGATAAAAGAGAAATAAAAGCACAAGACACTGGCACTGCACACAATCAGGAAATTTAGGCCAAGCATCCACTTGCGTACTACTTGTTATAACGCAGGTTACATGAAATAAGAAATAAGGGAAAAATAATCATGCACTAAAACAGAAAAAAAAAAAAAATATATATATATATATGTGTTATATTAAAATATATATTACCATGGTCCCTACCTTAAAGAAAATTTTCCAATATTGTCCTTTTGCCAAAGGAGTTATGCAATGAAACCCTTTGTTCCACAAATGAGCAATTGCAGTAATTGGATCTTTTACTAGAACTTCAGGAATCTCAAACCAAGTTGAAGGTATCCTTGTAACATTAAAACCAAATCTGTTACAATAGCATGATAGTCAGGAGATAATATACAAGAAAATATTGAAAGAATTGAGTTCGTCGAACATTATAAAACTCTTATCAATAAGAAACCAAAATGCACATATTCTATGAATATCAAGAAAGGAATGAAAGACAGTATCCTTGTGAATAAATGGCCAAGACAAAATTGAACACCTTTTCCCCAAAGCGCACACATAAAATCAGAAAGGTTAATCTCACAAATGGTCCCTGAGGTTTATCCTCAATTCCATTTTGGTCATTGACTTTTAAAACGTCCCACAATTGGTCCCTGAGGTTTTACTTTGTTTTAGTTTCAGTCATTCCATCATCTAGGTGTTAAATTTTTCACAGAATCTATGGAAATTAGGAACCAAAATTGAAAATATTTAAAGTTTAGGGACTAAAATAATACAAAAATTGAAACTTGATTTCCATAAATACTCTAAATTTTAGATGTTTCCAATTTTGCTCCCTAATTTACACAGAATCTGTCAAATGTTTAACACCTAGCTGACAGAGGGATTGAAACTGTAACAGACTAAAACCTCATGGACTAATTGTGGGACTTTTTAAAAGTCAGGGCCCAAAGTGGGATTGAGGGAAAACCTCAGGGATCATTAGTAGGATTAACCTGAATCAGAACAAAAGTATTTAGCAGTAAAGACCATAAGCTCAGAGCACTAGTGCATGTAAATGGCCAAGAGAGAAGTTGAACACCTTTTTCGGGAAAGTACTTGATGAACAAGATGTTCTAGAAGTATAACATAGAATATACTCATAACCAAGTTCAGAAATCCCAAAGAAACAAAGAATAGGTGTTGCATTATTCTTTTATCTCCACATTACACGGACGAAACTGAAAAGACAATGATGAGTTTGTTGCAACCATGTAAGATGTCTATGCACAGAACTCAGGTTAGAGATCAGAAGTGCGACATTCCGTTAATAAATCCTAAAAGCTTGAAAAAAAAAAAAAAACACACACACACACACAAATATGGGAAAAAATGAGCAATAAAAGTTGGTAACTGGATCTTTCATGATATTACAGATGTAATTATGTTTCCGGACCAAACTAAGTAACATAAAATTTCATGACTTCCAAAAACATCAAAAGTAACAATTCTTTATTGGCAAGAAATCAATACTTACATGTTTGGTGGCAGAGCACCATATCCAAAGAGAATAAACAAAAGTAGCAGCAAAAGCTTGGCCGCAGATGAGACAAATGTTCTTCCAGAAAGGAAAAGCCAGTTAAACAACATAACAAGAGAAAGGAAGCATAAAAATGATTTCTTCTCATTACGCCACAGCAAAACATCTGCAACTGTAACCACATAGGTCAAAGTCATTCTAAAAGCACAACTATGATTACATTATAATCCAATCTATCAAATGTATTTGAATTTTGATGCCTCGGTAGAAACATTGAACCTACATTGAATGGCTTGAAAACACTTGCACAACTCTAATCTTTTAGTGCTGCTGGATGCATTTTGCACAGTATGTTACAATCCTCAGTCTAAGGAAAGGCTAGGAATAAATTACAAAAAGCCCTTTTAATAGTACCTCAATTAATCAAATTTAAACTCACAGGGGCACCGGGAACTTCTTGTGGTGTCCAAACTGAACCCGATACATTGGCCAAGTCTTTTGAAACAAGAAGAAGATGACTTACCATTTGGTTAAATGTCAACTACTTAATCAAAATCCAAGGAAAGAATTAACCTAATCTAAACAGTCAGGGGTCCACCAGGCAAGAGTTATAGTCCAAAATGAACTACATAACTTAAACGTTTTCACCTGAGAATGCTTTTATAGGGTGCAACTATAAAAACAAATAAGAAAAGCTGTGTAAATGTTACATAAATTCAAGGGGGGGGAAAGGAAGCTTGAATAGAAGAACGATAAGAAGTACCACAGAAACGTTTCCCAATTCCTACCTTTACCACCGCCTAGAAGCTTCTCCACTTTTGATGGTTCATCACGATCACAGTATCTTGAGAAAGACATATCATTTGCTAAATGAGATAATGATCTGATGGTTCGGGATACACCTTCCTGCATTTTCAGAAATCATCACAGATAGAATCTTAACCTTAGAATGTATTAAATAAATATAACATGTGTAGATATCGAACACTATTTTTGTGCATCTTGGCCATGTAGTTCAGGAAGCAGCTTTGCATTAATTTATGATACATGCATGAGCAATAGTTTAGCACTTAAACACAACATGTAAAGTAATATATTAGCTCCACTTGATATATTTTAACCGTACATAACCGAAGTCCTACGATAGCTATCAAAAATGAAAAGAAGTCATTAGAGACATATTGGTATAAATTAAATAAATAAAAGGATTAATTTCAATTTTGGCCCTTGAGGAATACTCGTTATCTCACATTGCCCCCTAAACTTTTTAATGTCACACTAATGGCACTCGAGCTTTACAAACGTTACACTTTCAGCCCTCCGTGACAAAACTGTTAAAAAAATTGATGAAATGAGCATGTGAGGCGCACATGATGCTTGTAAAGAGGGTAATTTGGTAAATTAATTGAAGACAAATTTCAATTTTGAGTCCTAAAAAATACTCGGTGTCTCACTTTACCCTCTGAACTTTTAAACGTCCACATTAATGGCCCCCGACCTTTACAAATGTTACAAATGTCGTCCTATAATTGAATGTTTAACGTCAAATTTCTTCTCCTCATAAATTTTATAAAACTTATATGATGTCAACAATTATTTCACCCTAGCTTAGTTATTTTAAACAGAGTCGCGTGGGACTTTTGCATAGTTTTATCTACTAATTTTGTATGGCCAATGTAATTTATTCTAGGTGAGGAAACTATGAAATGTTAACATTAAACATTCGAATATGGAATTAAAAGTGCAATATTTGTGAAGCATGGGGACCATTAATGTGACATTAGAAAGTTTAGGGGTCAGAGTGAGACACCGAGTATTCCTCAGGGGGTAAAATTAAAATTAATCATAAATAAAAAGGAATACACACAGAGATATAATTGGGAAAAAATATTAGACAAACTTGCAAGCATATAACTAACAGTCAAAAAATTTCTACCGTCAAATAAGATTATTTAAAACTGCCCTAAGTTTCAGGTGAGTTTTTTTTTTCTTTCTTTTTTAGATTTCCTGTTAACTCCACCTATACGGTGATTCGCATAGCCGTTCCTAAGCCCGGGTAAAGGAGAAAGGTTGCGGTAGGTTGACAGTCAGTGTAAAAATGTCACTCTACATGGATTTCTCATTTACAGACTCTGTTGGGGCGTTCCTTACGTGCTAGGCGCTATGCCGGACCACGGGTATAGTGTTAAATAGGCAAGGGGGGTCCTCGCACATTCATGGACGTGTGCGGGGGAAGAAGCTAGCCCATGCGCCATGTTTGGCCCCGGATATGGTGAAAAATATACAAGGAGGGTCATTGCACATTCATGGACGTGTGCAGGGGGCAATGCTAGCCCATGATAGGAAAATTCATCTAGGCAGTTGGAATGTAGGTTCTTTAACCAGTAAATCTATAGAGTTAGTAGATGTTATGCTGAGAAGAAGAATTAACATCTTATGCTTACAGGAAACCAAGTGGACAGGAGAGAAGGCAAAAGAGATTAGAAACCTAGGACATCAATTATGGTACACAGGTTGGGAAAGGAATCGTAATGGAGTTGGCATTCTAGTGGACAAAACTTTGAAGGATGAAGTGGTTGAGATTAAGCGATTAGGTGATAGAATTATTATGATCAAATTAGTGTTAGGGGAGAAGTTCATTTATGTAATTAGTGCTTATGCTCCACAAGTAGGATTGGATGAGTAAACTAAAACCAAGTTCTGGGAAGACATGGATGACTTAGTGCGTAGTATAGGTAATGGGGGTAGCATTTTTATTGGAGGAGATTTGAATAGACATGTTGGTAAGGATAGAGAAAACTTCGAGAGGATTCACGGTGGTTTTGGTTTTGGGGCTCGGAACGAAGAAGGTAAATCTATTTTGGAATTTGCATTGAAACACGACTTTGTTATAACCAACACATTCTTTAAGAAAAGAGATTCACATTTAATCACTTTTAAGAATGGGAGGAACTCGAGCCAGATATATTATTTTCTCACAAAGTACAGAGATTGTTCTCTCTGTAAGGATTGTAAAGTAATTTCCGGAGAAGCGTTAGCCACCCAACATAGGTTAGTAACTCTAGATGTGAGCATTAGGCTTTACCATAGGACTAAGATAAATCACCTCCCACGAACTCGTTGGTGGCATTTAAAGGGAATAAAGAAATTGGCTTTTAAGGAGAAGTTGTTAAAGGAGGCTGCTTGGTCATGCGAAGGTGATGCAAATACAATGTGGGACACCGTCACGAGTTGCATTCAGAAAGTGACAAAGGGGGACTAGGAGTATCTAGAGGTAAATATCCTCCGGGAAAGGAAACCTGGTGGTGGAGTGAGGAAGTTTAAAATGCTACTAGGACCAAGAAGGATTTATATAGAGAGCTACCAAAGTGTAGGATGATGAGACTTTTATTAAGTACAAATAAGCGAAGAGGGAAGCTAAGAGAGTAGTTAATAAGGCTCGTGCTACTTATTTGGATGAGGTGTATAGGAAACTTGGGACTAGAGAAGGAGAGAAGGATATCTATAAACTAGCTCGGATAAGAGAAATGAAGTGTCGGGACTTAAATCAAGTGAGATGTGTTAAGAATGATACGGATCAAGTTCTGACGAAGGATGAAGATATTAGGCAGAGGTGGAAGAGTTACTTTGAGAAACTTTATAATGAAAATCATGCAATGGGGTTTGGCAATCTTAGGTACCAAGGCGAACCAAATGTGATGTATACAAGAGACATTAGAGTTTCAAAAATTAAAACTGCATTACGAGATATGAAAAAGGGGAAGGCATGTGAGCCAGATGGTATCCCAATAGAGGTTTGGAATGTGTTAAGAGAGGTTGGAATTAAGTGGCTCACTAAGTTTTTTAACGAGATACTAAAGAAGAAGCATATGCCCGATGCTTGGAGAAAAAATATTCTCGTTCTTCAAGAATAAAGGAGATGCGCTAAATTGTAACAACTATAGAGGCATAAATCTGATAAGTCACACTATGATGCTTTGAGAGAGAGTTATTAAAAAGAGATTAAGGGCCACAACTACCATCTCAGGTAACCAATTTAGGTTCATGCCCAGTAGATCAACCATGAAGGCTATTTTTCTTCTTAGGATGCTAATTAAAAGGTATAGAATAGCTAAGAAAGATTTGCATATGGTCTTCATAGATTTAAAAAAGGCATATGATAGGGTACCGAGAGAAGTGTTATGGTGGGTACTAGAGAAGAGAAGAGTGCATATGAGGTATATCAAGGTAATAAAATATATGTACAATGGAGCTGTCGCAAGTGTGAGAACTACTGGAGGCTACACGGAAGAGTTTCCCATTCGGATTGGCCTTCATCAAGTTCCGCTCTTAGTCCTTATCTTTTCACTATCGTGATGGACGAGCTGACAAGAGAAATTCAAGATGGGATTCCCTAGTGTATGCTTTTTGCAGACGATATAGTTTTAGTTGATGAACATCGGGAGGGCATTAACCGTAAGTTAGAACTATAGAGACAAACCCTTGAGATGAAGGGATTTAAGTTAAGTAGAACGAAGACTGAGTACATGCAATGTAGGTTTAGTAATTTGAGATATCAGAGTGATGAAATTTCTTTAGATGGTGTGATGATTATGGCTTCTAAGAAATTTAGGTACCTTGGGTCCATAGTGCAGTGTGAAGGGGATATAGATGAGGATATTAGACATAGGATTAAGACGGGGTGGGTTAAGTGGAAGAATGCCACGGGAGTTTTATGTGATGATAAGATGCCTATTAAGTTGAAAAGAAAATTCTATAGGACATCAATTCGCCCAGCTATGTTAAATGGTAGTGAATGTTAGGCCATTAAGAGACAACAAATATACAAGATGAGTGTGGCGGAGATGCGTATGTTAAGATAGATGAGTGACCATATGAGGATGGATCGCATACGGAATGAAGTTATTCGTAGTAAAGTAGGTGTAGCACTAATAGAAGATAAGGTGCGGGAAAACAGTCTAAGGTGGTACGGGCATGTACAACGTAGATCGTTTGATGCACGTGATCGTGCTTGGGAGAACATCCAAATACCTAGTACTAGGAGAGCGAGGGGTAGACCAAGAATTACTTGGGCCGACGTAGTTAGGTACGACTTTTAAGATCTAGGACTTCAGGAACGAGAAATCCATATAGCCGACCCCAATTAATTTGGGATTAAAGCTTGTATTTGTTGTTGTTGTTGTTTAGATTTCCTGTTGCTATTGTCTTAAAAACCTGTAGGCTAGAAGGCAAAATAATTATTTGATGACAAACATAGCAATATTGGAGATAAACCTCATTCAATCACTAAAAAATAGGAATTAATCAGAGAGAAATTACAAATGACACTATTAGCGGTATTAAAGACCGAAAATACATGAACTGAACCTACTTCAAGGGAGGTCTCTGGTAAGTATCCGAGATGCTTTTGAGCTGCAGAACAGTTGAAAGTTCTAGAGCATAAGGCTAGTTGGATATAGTGAAATGCAGAATGGCTGCATTTCAAGAAGCCCCACTTTCTCTGCGTCCATTTGATGGACAAGACAATAAGGGAAACCATCGTTGCAGGAAGTTTAATTAATGGTCTGCAGCCAAAACAAATTAGAAAATGGAACCTTACAGTATAAGCATTAGTAATCACAACAAGATGTTTTAATTTTTAACACTGAATTACACAATTAGGTAGCCTTCATAGAACTAAAGTGTTCAAATGAATAATGTCATCATCCAAATTAGTTTGCAACTCGGTGCCGATAGTGCAACACATTATCAACTAACCGATAAACAGTCTGTCACAGAAAAATACAGGAATGCTTACCGTTTATATCCTAAGCCTTCAAAAATAAGCGATAAGAAGTTCCAGAACTTCATAGGATGAAGGTCAGAGATGAAAAATGCCTACAAGTTGAAATCATGGGAATAGTTACATTCAGACCCATTGACAAAATAATAAAGTAATAAAGGGTAAAATTCACTTATCCCCCTAGACTTCTCATGTTTTGTCACTTAAGCCCCTGGACTAGAAAACTTAACACTTAACCATTTCAACCTCAAATTTGTTGCTATTTTACCGACAATTCAAACAGGTTTCCAAATTTGTAAATGTAAGTGGCGCCATGTGTAACAGCATCACATGGCTGCTTTTAGGAGCAAGAGTGAAAAAGTAAGAAAAGTATTGGTTGATCATTCAAACCCCCTTTGCTGGCAAGATTTTCCAGAGTAGAGCTCTTTTCCATCAAACTGCAACTTGTCTTCCTACTTGTACCATCAAAATGGCGGCCCAAGCTGGTCTCCTAGAGACATATATTGGTCCTTTCCTTGTAGCTAATAAGCCATTTTGCAACCAATTTACTGTACAAAATAAGATGGTTATTTGTCCTGCACAATGGTTTTGGACATGTGAAGTTCCAAGGCATGTGTTTAAACTATTAAATATCTTCAAGAAGAAAAGGGCATTGCTTAAGCGAGCTAAGCATGTTTGGGTGCAACGGTTCTATTATAAAGCCACTGGTCAATGGAATCAGCAAGCTAAGCAACTAAGGCGTAGAGGCGAGCTGCTCATCATGTTCTAGTCCCTTATTGTTGTTAATAGTAAAAACTTCAAAGCCCTTTACAGAGCAAGTGAAAATGGAGAAAGACTGTTATAGTCAACCCAAACATTTTGTTTTTTTTTTTTTTTCCCTCTTTTCCCATAAAAGTAGTCACGGGCTTAGCATGAGGAACTTCTGTTTCTAAAATTGGACGGCTGTTTGAATTGTAAGTAAATTGACAACAAATTTACAGCAGAGATGTTTACGTGTTAACTTTTCTAGTCTGGGGGGTTAAGTGAAAAAACATGTTAAATCTAGGGTGTAAAGTAGGCTCATAACCCAAAAATACAAACGCGTTAACTATCTATTCACACTCAACTGCAGAGTACCTTTCCAGCAACTGAGGCCATCCGAAAATCTAGAGCTTCCTCTGCACAAATGTGGGCATGAGATACATTCTCAACATAGGCAAAGTCTGACATGTTTTCACCACTCCCTATAATAAACTGAAATGAGAATCTCTGTTACTTTAGAAAAAGAAAAATATTTTTTTTTCTTTTTCAAGAGCGCATAAATCAAGTAATTGAATACGGAACATCTGGACATAGAGAAAAGAATGGCAAACAATATAACGAATAAGAAAACCATCTATAACATATTCAGGAATTCTCCATTTAGGTTGCTAATCAAATGGAAATCAAGGAAAATTTAAACAAAAAGGTAGAGAGTGTATATTAAATGATAAAATGTTGAAAAGGAAAATTATTACATGTAGTATTTAATTATATCCAAATAGTCATCAAATTGTATAGAGAATGGAAGGGAAAAGTTCTTTTCAAACCTTTGTCAAACCGGATCTTGCCAAGTTCACAAAAAACGGCACAAATTTTAAGTCCCCAGGTCCAAATACATTGCAAGGACGAATTGCACATGTTAAAAGGCCATCAATATCATTTGCGAACAGAATAAGTGCTTCTGCTTGAGCCTTAAGATCATTCAAAATGCTCTGAAACTGCATGAAGTAGAATATAGACATATCAACGTGAAATCTTAGCAAACATTAATTGTACATTACACACACACACACACA